GATATCACCACAATCATCAATTCTCAGTGATGTTTTTCTAATTAGTAAGGTGCATAATCTAACTTTGTAAGTTTACACATTTTTTTCTCCATAGGACTCAATAAATTACTTTTATTTTGAAATTTTCAATCAGAGACCTTATAAACATTTCTTTTTCTTACATGGTTTTACACAAAAGAGTTGCTCATCACCACATACATGGAACTTTTAAAAAAGTAATTAACACAGTTAATTTATGGTGTGAAAAAATATACAGGAAATATCAGAAGAAAAATTAGTTTTGTAAAACTAGAGGTCTATTAAAAACATTTCCAATATTTGCCAATATGCTTTGCAAAAATATTCAGGGTTTTTTAATCAATACTAACTAAAACATTAATGTATTTTTACTGATTCTGATTATGACATGTTTGGATGTCAGAAGGTTTGCTACAATGAAAACCCATTGTATTTTGGTCAATATATTTAATGCCATTTTTCGAGCATTCAAGTTTGAAATACAGTCAAGTTTTATAAGGTTTCTGATCTTATTTTCTGTTGGCCACTGTTAATATGCACCTGCAGGTCAAAACTGTAAAAGGAATTCTGTTAAGACTTTGGAACTGAAAACCATTTGAGGGGAAAAAGTACTATTTAACAGTCACTATTCTAAGCCTTCACTGCTTCCCATTTTGTATGCAAAACTCTGAAGGTTCAGCTTTTGGTTTTTAAATTCACAGCTTCCAAAACCCAGCAGGCAATTTTATGTTAGAATCCTAATTTAGAGATGGAAAAAAAACAAATCTGTGAGAGTTAAATTAAGATTGGTTCTGCTATATGATGCTCAAAATAAATTTTACGTTTTTATACACAAAGTAAATTGTCATTTCTGCAAATGCAATTTGTCAGTTAGATGACAATGTTTAAAAAAAATTTAAACTTTCCTTTTACAATGCAGGCAGACAAAACAGAACAAACATGACATCAATGATATACTAGTAAAATACACTAAGTCCAATAAAAGATGAAGAAACTACAAGGAGAAACTAGAATGGAAAATAGGCTACAGGGACTATATGGGTTTATTAACACAAAGAATTTTTGAGTCTGGCCTAAATAATTAATTGCCTTTGACATCATTTTGCTTTCCCTTTGTTATAGCACATATTTCTCAAAGTCAGCAATACCTTGTCTACCTGTCCTGTCTGGGAGACTGAAAGATAAAGGTCTGTAAGAGAGAAGAATGGAAAGAGCTAGAAAGATCAGGATGTTCGGGAAAAAAAAAGAGGACTGACTTTCAAAAAGTAGTGACTAAATTCAGACCCATTTATCCATCTTAAGAATAACATGAAATACATAAAAGCTAACAGATCTCCCCAACCCCACCCCTCTACCTCCACCCCCAGGGAGTCCTTTCATTCTTAGGCAGGTTCCTGAGTGCCTCTTATACTTGCCCCGAATCCCATCACCCTCCCAGCTTAAACCCTCCTCTCCCAATATTCCAATGTTACAGTAAACCATTTTTCTATCAAAACAGAACAGATGGAAATACATTCAGAGTATATCTTTGCTTCTCTCTTTCAGGATCTGGGAGAGCTTTGCTCTACCTGTCTAGGTATTGGGAATTAAATTGATTCACTTTTTTCCATTACCAGAAATGTACTAACTTTAGACCAACATAATAAAAGCTTTGATTTCTGACAAAGGCCTCTAGATAAAGGCATGTTATGTTTCAAAAGCTGTGTTTTAATTATACCCAGAATGATTTTTAAAGATAAATGATGTTCCTAAAATATTACTTAAATGATGTAAAATATTGATAACCAGTTCTTTTCATCAATCATGACATTCTCGATTTTAAACGAGTCTTTTTTTGTGTTTGTTTTTGAGATGGAGTCTTACTCTGTCACCCAGGCTGGAGTGCAGCGGTGCAATCTCAGCTCACGGCAACCTCCGCCTTCCAGATTCGGGCGATTCTTGTGTCTCAGGCTCCAGAGCGACTGGGATTACAGGCAAGTACCACCATGCCCGGATAATTTTTTTTTTTGTATTTTTAGTAGAGACGGGGTTTCACCATGTTTGCCAGGCTGGTCTCAAACTCCTGACCTCAGGTGATCTGCTTGCTTTGGCCTCCCAAAGTGCTGGGATTACCGGTGTGAGCCACTGCGCCCAGCCAAACAAGTCTTTAAGTTTATGCTTACATAATAAATTTTAACTGAAATTTAGTAAGAAGATTAGTAAAAGTTTATACTTTGCTTTCAAGTAATTTTGGATTATTCTGCAGAGTAATATCTCTGATAAATTTAACCAATTGAAGTAACATGGACATGAAACATATGAAAGCTTTTGACATTTCAATGTTTCTGGAATAAAGCTAGACGTCGTTCAAACATACTTAAAATATATGAAAGCTACTGAAAAATTAGTCATCATACTTTTCAGTGCTGTTTTAAAAAGATGATCAGGACTAAATGGCCTCACTTTGATTTGAAATCCGATTTCATAACTAAAATATTAGCAGACATTACATGTATAGAAAATATATAATTTTGTGGTTTATCTCCAATCAAACTTAAAACATACTGTCTTGTAAAAGACAAAAAAAGGGAAACTAATTTGGTACCAGATAACAATTATGTATGATGCAAGATGATCAGGGAATGAAAAATAGAAGTAATCACCAGTATTCTAAACTATTTTAAATAGCATTATTTCTGTGAATGGATTTTAAGTTATAGTATTCTTATAACTACTTCCATTGAAATGTAAATTACATTTTACTGCTCTTTTAAATAAGAAAAATTGCCTCATTAACGAAGTTTTATTCAACAATCAAAAAGCAAATACCCATTATGCAATAATTACAGGTCCTTCATGACTTTCGTCAATATAGCACATTAACCCATTTATGTCAGAGGTTGCAAACTTTTTTTTGTGAAAAATCAGACCTTGGGGATGACCCTGAACAGTAGGATACAAACAACTCCCACAAGCTTAGCATTCCAATAACGGAACACTAGGCATAAATGTGTTAAGTAGCAGAAGAAAAAGAAGGACTACCACCAATGAAAAGGAGTTAAGTACCTGGAAAGGTGAAAATTCCAGACAACTGGTCATATTTTTATAGATGATTATACAGAATTCACAAATTACTAGATACTCATTCATTATACCAGTTATTAAAGGACTGCATAACTGTTTGTCCCTTGGCATTTAAAATCTATAACCATACAGTTTTGCAAAGCAATGTTTAACAAATGACACATATTTTAAGTTCTTTTAAAACTTTAAAAGCAATAGCTCAGGGTTTACAGTAACCTTTTCTTTACTAAATAATATATTGCAAGTCAGTTATACTAAATTAAATTATGAGTCTTTTTCCTTGTCCCAAAACAAAATTTTCTCTATTAACCTAATTTATGTTTTCCACTTTCAAAAGCCAATATTTTAAAAATTGGCTATAGGACAAACAAAATATATAGTTACTTAAGAGAATCTTAGCTCTAAATCACCATTATAAACTTCTCCTTTGGGAAACCAACAGGAATGGGAAATTGAGATAAAAATGCAAGACTATTTTATTTAAAAGAGAACATTGGAAAATGTTTTTACAAGAAAGCTTCAACTGTTTACATATTTCAAATTTATTCTTCATTCTGCGTTTTCTTCCATTAAAATGGGCACAGAATTGAGTTAAACTGATCCTTTAAAATGCCAACAAGATAAATTTTTCAGAACTCACCTGTTGTAAATTAATGCCAGTGTATTTTTAATACCTTGATGTTTTCATAGTAATATTTACTTTAAATCAACAGAACATCTGAGCTTAACACTAATAATTATAAATAAAGTTTGTTTTTTCCAATCTGAGTTATGACTGCAAATACCAAATGTAAGAGTATCCTCAAACCAGCTGGGTGGTGAATGAGAGATCAAAAAATTATTGATCTTTTTTTTTTTGAGATGAAGTTTCACTCTGTCGCCCAGGAGTGCAGCGACCTGATCTTGGCTCACTGCAACCTCCATCTCCAGGGTTCAAGTGATTCTTGTGCCTCAGCCTCCCGAGTAGCTGGGATTACAGGTGCACTCTACATGCCCAGCTAATTCTTTTTTTTTTTTGTAGAGACAGGGTTTCACCATGTTGGCCAGGCCAGTCTCGAACTCCTGACCTCAACTGATAAAACTACTGCTCTTTCTAAACCTCTGCTAGGGTAACAAACAACCCAAATAATGTGAACCCGGGCGGCTCAGCTACAGCACCTGCTACTGATATTCAGACTAGTGCTTGAGGGAAGAGTCACTAAAATTCTGAAGTAGGGTTTTTATACAATGCTAAAGTGCTGGTTGTTCCTCATTTATCCAATCTAAGGTTGAATCTAACAGCAGAAAGTTAGCTAAGTATAACAAACCAATCCTATAGAATGCAATAAAAACCACGGATATATATGTACCAATGTCTAAAATATGTGACTTAACTAACTTGTCAGTAAAATCTTAGGGAAAGATCTAGAATTAAAAGATTAAGGTATTGAATTTCTTTTTTGAATGTGAACTCAAACATGCTAGGCATTTATTTATAACTTGAAACATTACTTACTTCCTTATAAGAATTCCATTTCCTGTCCCTGCCCTTTCCAGAAGTAGTTTTGTAACACAAAATTTATATATCTTTAAAATATTAGTTCTAAGACTTCCTTGATAATTACTGACGTTTTACAAACCAAATATTAGATTCCATTATTCAGATAATTCTTTTAAGCAATAAGATTTGGAATTGTGCTTATTACCCAAGGCAGCTATGACTGTGGCTAAAAGAAGAATACACAAAGCTGTTTGGTAGATAATAGTCACAGAACCTTTAGCATACTAATATGTGTATATTCAATTTTTTAAAAACTGAATAAGCATAACGGCTGAACCTAAAGGGTGATACTGAAGGACAAACAGTGAAAGCTACAAATCATGCGTAATCTGTCATCATGCTTAGAACCTTTCTTAACTATAGCATTTTCCATTCTTACCTCAGATTTTTCCAGCTTATTTTGTGCATCAATTTGTGTAACAATCTCATTCATGTTTGTCTCCAATACCATTCCCCCCATCACCATTTCTGCAAGAATATTGTGAACCTAAAGGAAATAAAAGAACATATACCCATAAAGAAAACTGACTAAAAAGAAGTTTCATGATTCACTTTTTGTTTCAAATACCACTTCATCTATATTAAATGTATGAGTGGTAAAAACAACTTGGAGTAAGGGCTCATAATCCACTTTCATCACTACTGTGAAGTCCTAGGCAGTTATATAACCCCCTTAAGTTAATAGGCTATAAAACATTAAGTTAATGAGCTTAATAGGCTATAAAACAAAAACAATAGTACTAGCTTCATAGGACTGATGAAAGGAATAAGGTAATCCAACGCAGTACTCAAAACAAAGTAAATGACTAGTAAATATTAACTACCATTCTTATTCTTATTATGTCAAGTTTAATACTAAAATATGATTTATAAGGGTCTTTTATGCCAGATTCTTAGCCAGCAATAATTAGGTTGTTATTTTACTCATTGTACTTAATGAAGCAATGTAGTACAGTACTTCTAACAGGCTCTAGATTGGAAAAAGGTAGAATTTTTAAAATTGTGGGTACTTTAATAGTGCTTTTACCCCCAAATCCTCTACACATGTAATACTCAGATTTCTCTCATAAATACATCTTATAATGACTAAAAATGGTGTCTTCCATTGGGAAGTAAAAATATAACTTCATGTCTTTTCATAAGGTATTATTGGATCAAAGAAATCAACAATTCAGAGCTGAATTACATTTCACAGAAGAATCTACTCTGCTATATATATATTTTTTTAAATAATGTGGTAAGGTTAGAAACGGAGACTCCAAAATTAGATAAGCATGAATACTGACTCTACCACTTATTACTTGTAGCCCTTGAGCAGTTACTTCAGCTCTCTGAGTCTGTTACCTTATTTACAAAATAGAGACAGCAATAATATAGGCACCTCATAGAATTACCATAACAATTACATAAATAATTCATGTAAGTGCTTAGCATAGAACTACTAAGTATTATAAGGTAATTTATTTTTTTTCAACGAATTCTTTTTAGGTATTAAATATATATTATTTGATTTAAATTTCTTTGTAAGATTTCATGCAAATTTATTCATAATTTTAAAAATATCCCTGGAGGCTGGGTATGGTGGCTCACACCTGTAATCCCAACACTTTGGGAGTATGAGGTGGACAGATCACTGGCAATATGATAAAACCCTGTCTTTACAAAAAATGCAGAAAATTAACCAGGCATAGTGCCTCACGTCTGTACTTCCAGTTACTCGGAAGGCTGACCCAGGAGGACTGCCTGAGCCTGGGAAGCAGAGGGTGCAATGAGCCAAAATCACAGTACTGCCCTCTAGCCTGGGCAACAGAGTGAGACCCTGTCTCAAAAAAAAAAAAAAAAATCATTATTTACTATTTTTCATTTTGGAAATATGGATACCTCATGCACAAATTATGAAGACAAATTTATATAAATTACTTTTTCTAGCCAACCAAACCAAACCAGACATCACAGTGTTTTGAAAACTACTGTAACTTAAAAAAAAAAAAGTAGAATATAGGCAAATGACTAAAAGTTCACACAGAAACTTATGTATGAACAATAGTCTCTACCACACTCTGCATGCGTTATTAGGTCCCTTCATCCAAAGCTAATCAGTCAGCTATATCTTAGGTATCCTAGAAAACTTGCTGTGCACATACTTGTTTTACATGTGTATATGCATATCTAATTTACACAAATGAGAACATATTATATACATTAATTTTTGCAGTTCTGCAAGAAAATAAAGAATTGAAAGTTAGAGTCAGGAAAGAATGAGAAATTAAGTTAGGAAAACCATAAAAGAGACTGGTGACAAATGAAACTGTATTGGTAAGAGCAAACGAACAAAAATATAAAAATTTAAAACAGTGAATCAACATTAACTATTAGACATATATTTGTATAATGAGATCTCTCACTGATCTCTGTCAGAGAAGCAAGTTGCAAATATGGAAAATGAGAAAGCCAGAAGAAATTCTATAGTATTGTACTAGATTCTGAGGTATTAAGAAGTGGTCAATGATTTTTAATATACATATCAAGATCTAGAAACAGCTGTGTGTGTATACACACATCTATTTCCCAGTTCAGTTCACTAAGAACCAGGAGTCACGTCACCCCAGCAACAATGAGCACACACAGTGCCCAAATCGTCATTTCTAAACATCATTCTCCTCTGAAAGAAGCCAGGGTTCCTTGGAGAAATGGTTGACTTGAGGGCTGGAGCAGAAAATATATAAGATGCTCTGTTCATTGAAAAGGCCAAGAAACAATGAGCAGCTTCATAATTATGAGCACCTCTAGACTGTGGTTACTATATATTATCTCCAACACAAAGGCATCAGGGCTCCTAGAAAGATGGGCAACTTGAACATAAAAGAAAATAATGTCTGCAATTGACTTAAACAAATCAAATACATTAAAATTTTTATGTCATAGGACACTAAAAAACTTAAATGATCTTTTTTGGTGGATATTAGAAAAGCAACCAGTTATGAAAATTGGTAAATATAAAAAAAAAAACCACTCTAGAATTTATCTGGCCTTTCCTATATAAACTGTGCCTTTTATTTAAACACATCTTTGTCTTCAATGAATTATTTCATTCAATGTACTTTTAGTGTATTGAATATTATTTCTACCTTTAATTATACTTTCTCTTTTCTCCCAATGTTTGTTAGTTTGATCTAATTTTATTACACTATTCTCTTCCTTTTAAATATGAGACTCTACTGTGCTTATACATCCCATTAATAAATATCTCTCCCTCTTAAATGACTTTGTTATTATTTATAAAACAAATATCAAGTCTTTCTAGATCACTGAGACCTTGTTTTCCTACTAAAATACTTTAATTCTTCCTCATTCTTTTTTCTCTCAATTGGATATGACCCTCCAAGTACTTGTATAATACATGTTAAATGCATCCTTCAAAGTCTCTTATCTTCTTCATGTTTTCCATCTTTCAGTCTTATGCTTTGAGATTATTTCCTACACTTGATCTTCTACCTTTAATTCAAGCCTCAATTGTGACCACCGTCTTTAAAACTTTTCAGTCTGAAAAACTCTTTTCAAGCCCAAGAAGACTTTTCCAAATCTTAAGTACTTTTTAAATCATTTTAAAATTTCAAGTGAGAGGCCAGGTGGTGGCTCACACCTGCAATCCCAATGCTTTGGGAGGCCAAGGCAGGAGGATCACTTGAGGCCAGGAGTTCAAGACCAGCCTGGGCAACACAGCAAGACCCCAACCATACCAAAATAAATAAATTTTAAAATAATAAAATTTCAAGTGTTCCTCTATCTTCTCCAGTAGTTCTTTTCCATGGAGCATAATTTCTGATTGTTCAATGTGTCCATCTTTCTTGTTCAGATGGCAGTGCTTTTTTTCCTATTGGTTTACTGTGCTCAGGGCTGGCCTCCAAGATGTTATTAATGACTAGCTCCTTTATTTGGTGAAAGTAAAAGGAGTCTCTCATTCTGTGCCTGTGGTTAAAGACCAGGCTATCAAAATCCTCAAGAGGGACCAGGTTGGAGGAAAACACTCTGCTCTTAAGTCTTCATTCTCTCAGCCTCAAGGGTAGGAAAGACACTTGGGCCTCCAATCAGATCTCTACACTAATCACTTGTGGAGGCAAGTGGGGGAATGCAGAGAGGAGAACAGAGTATATTAATAGCTGTCATTATCAAAGTCATACATCCTCCAAATCAAGCCCTTTAGCTGTCTCATTTTGCCTTGGATTTGGATGCTTTGTTCCAATACGGGCAACAACAAGGGGCCACCCAATTGAAGTCACACTATATAGGAAATGGGCAGATAACTCAGGAGCTGCTCCCAGCAAATCCACAATAAATATGTAGTCTAAGTAAGAAACATACTGAATTATTCATATTTTAGGATTTTAGGGGTAATAACCACAGCATAACTTAGCTGTACATGATAATGGGTCTGACTCCATTTTTGATGTTTCTCTGCTCACAGCCTTCAAGTTCTACTAGTCCCCATTCCTCTTCTGCCTTATATCTGGGCAAGCTGTTAAGAAGGTCTGGGTACTCCTTCCTTTACACTAGTGGAAAGTTCAGACTAGCTGAGACCTGGCCCACATGCAGAAATCTTCACCCCATTCCCACCACTAAACCACCAGAAAACCCAAGCCCGGTGTTGTTTTCTGCTTTCTCCGGAAAGCCTCATTATGTGAGTAATAAATCTTTTCCAATCCTCTTGGGGCACCTGTGACATTGTTAGTCTCTATATCCAAACCAATTGTGAGTAGGGGCGGGTCTGTCCCACTACTTCAGGGTGACCACACTAGCCTATGTGATTGATACAGCTATAGCATGTAAAGATTTATAAAAAGAAACTGGTAACAACCACGATAAAAGAAAATGTGTGACAGTGGTTTACAGGTTGGACGGCTGGCCCCAAGGAAACTGTTGTATTTGAGGCTAGGAAGTTACTGATGCATGTCTGTAGTGGCAAAATATTTGGTACAATTATCATCTGTGATACCTTGAAAAGCAGATAAATTTACTCAATGAAAACTTTTTTTCTGACATAGAAACTAACAATGTTCTGGATAGTGGCAGCTCTGTTACCATGGATCATTTGTGGAATACGATAAAAATACTGCGTGAATAGGAAATAACCCTTTTTTGTTTCACGGGGTTAACATTTTCATGTTTGTTACTGCAGCATAAATTAACTCATCCTGACTGATAACAGAAGGGGTATTCTCTACAACTTTCTCTTTTCATCTACTCAGTTGTGACCCAGAAGCAGTCTGAGGGTTGTGTGTAAACCTCTCTGGGTCTTGCCTTTAAGAAAATGTGAGCCGTGACTGGGCGTGGTGGCTCACGCCTTGGGAGCCACCACTTTGGGAGGCTGAGGCGGGTGGCTCACGAGGTCAGGAGATCAAGACCAACCTGACTAACACTGTGAAATCCCACCTCTACTAAAAAAAATACAAAAAAATTAGCCAGGTGTGGTGGTGGGTGCCTGTAGTCCCAGCTACTCGGGAGGCTGAGGCAGGAGAATGGCGTGAACCTGAGAGGCAGAGCTTGCAGTGAGCCGAGATCACGCCACTGCACTCCAACCTGGGCGACAGAGAGAGAATCCGTCTCAAAAAAAAAAAAAAAAAAGAAAATGTGAGCTGAGTCACTCAGAAGATTCCTACTGCTGGAAGGTCCAGAGCAGCTTAAAAGTTGAAATTTAAAAATAAATATATATTTTTTAAGTTGAAAATAATTTTCATCAAAGGGTTGAAAGCAAAGTTAGCATTGTCTTGGAGAACAGGAAGGAAATACTTATTTGATCTCTGACTCTTGGTATCCCAAAACTTTTGTCTCCTTGCCTTGAAAAAATAAAACAAGATCTTAGCCCAGAGAAAAGAGAGACAGTTAATTTTGGCAGGTTCTAAAATAGTGATATAGTGTTGTGTAAAATGAACAGGCTACACAAAATACATATTGTATGATTCCATCTTTACTGTTTTAAAGATGCATTTGTTTAAAGATTATTTGTTTTAAAGATGTAAAATCAAGAACTATACATATTCTAAAATGTTAACACTAGGCAATCTCTGGGATAGGGATGATTTTCACATATTTTTCTCATCTGTATTTTCTGATTTTTCTAAAATGAATGCATACTAATGAGAAATAGAAGTTTTAAAAACATTTTGTATCATGTATGGAAGTTGCAGATGAGTACAGCTTAATTTTCTTCGAAATTTTTATTCTCTTTCTCTAGTAAAAAAATACAAGAACCTTACTCTTACCACATTTCACAAGAGAGTCCTCAATTTTCTTAAAAGATGGTAAATGTGTTTATATAAGCTAATGATGACCTCTCAGCAGTCATTTTAAAACACAGCTTTCTAAAAATTTTAATCACGTATCAAAACACAAATTTTTTTCTTTTTTGAGACAGGGTCTCACTCCGTCACCCAGGCTGAAGTTCAGTGGCACAATCATGGCTCACTGCAGCCTCAACCTCCCTGGGCTCAGGTGATCCTCCCTCCTTAGCCTCCCAACCAGCTAGCACTACAGATGCATAACACCACACCTGGCTAATTTTTGTATTTTTTGTAGAGACTGGGTTTTGCCATTTTGCCCAGGATGGCCTTAAACTCCTGGGCTCAAGCAATCCTCCGACCTCAGCCTCCCAAAGTACTGGGATTACAGACATGAGCACTAGCACCTGGTCTTCAAAACAGAATTTTGAGTATTGTGAACCCTAACGACTAAAAATAACAAGTCTTTGTAAGTGTGAAAAAGCATTAGACATAGTAATTAGAGAAAAACAGCAGAACACTAAAAACAGACTCATAAACATATCATGTTTAAGTACTCTGTCCAAAGTGAATTAATTTATAAAATCAAATCACTTGGTAAATGAGAGATATGATCTAGAATATTGGCTAAAGAGAAAAGTATTTTTTTGACATTCACAAATAATGAAATTCATGCCTTGTACTTTGATTGTGATGCTGGTTACATGTACTATACACACCTGTCAAATCTTAGTTTTGTAAGCTTAACCCTGTTGACTTTTAACACCTGTAAATTATGCCTGAATAAAGCCAATTTTTAAAAATCACACTGCATTTTTTTTTTGCTAAAATTTTCAGACTATCTTATTCAATAGTTGAATCACTCATAAAGAATCTCTTAGATTATACAAACTTAATACAGAATAAAATCTGCACATAGTGCAAGTGGAATCTCTTCCTCCTAAGTTCCGTATCACAAATATCAACCAATACTGGTAGAAATCTGTCATTCTTTCTCTTACCTCCAGCTTTCAATAAGCCATCAAATCCTATCACTTCTACCTTCTCCCAAACCTCATCTTAGTGTCTTACCTTCTTTCAAACCTCATGGTAGTGTCTTAGTCATTTCTTTCTGGACTACTGCAATAAACTCTTAATTGACTTCCCTGTGTTTAATTTCTCAACCTATCAATCCAATCTCCATAACACAAGAAAAAATCATTCTATCAAAAATATATACAAACAAAGCAATAATAATGTCAGTAAAAACCTGTTTAAAAACATTAAATTGCCTCACAATAAAGTTCAAAGTCATGGCATTAATGGTTCTTTTAAATTAGCCCTGTTGATCAATATCAGTCCCTCCTCACAAAAAGGCCTATATTTTGTATCTCTGCCAGTAGGACCATCCTCTCCTTTTCTATGTATGAAATATCTACTAATCCCTTAAAAATCCAGTTTAAATGTAATTTCCTCCCATCACAGTCTCCTAGGGAGAGGTAAGTGGTTCAGCTGTGTCCCCATTAACATCCTGTACATACTATTATTATTTGTTAATGCCATTGTTTCCGCCCTTAGATGTGAACTCCTCTAAGGAAGGATCTGAATCTTCTCCACCAACCATAAAGCCTGGCTCACAGTAAAAACAATTTATGAACTGAATAATAAAAGAATAAAATAAAAGAAAAAAATAGAATTATTCATTAAAGCCACTTTTGCTATGACAACTATAAGTTAATGTTTTTTTTAAAAAGCTTAGATGTGACAATAGAAATAGTACCTTGTCTACATGGAAAATCAAATCCAGTTCACAGACATTTTCAAAACATTTGTCTAATGTTTCCACAAATACCTATGGAAAAAGAAAAAAGGTTTTGAGACTGTTTAAATTTATTCAAACCTGTTATCTATACAGAAGGCAATTCTTAATTATGAACTAAAATTTTGCATTATACATTTATCTTTTTCAAACTAAAAATTGTATTAAATGTAAAAAAAGTAAAAAAAGAATAGAGTCCTAAAAATACCAAGTTTAACTACAGATAAACTACTTTTCAATACGTAAGTATAGAAAACAAAATAAACTTTTTTTGAAAATCACTAAAACTAGAAAGTCTTAGCACCACTTCTTACAAAATCACTTAAAAATACTCAACTAAGTCTCCTTATTTTGACGTGAGTGGGGGAAGAAAGCTCATTAGGAAATATCTATCAAGAGAGGTGAGGCACAGTCCAACTCCCTACTATATCTAATGTAGCCAGTAACTTTTAATTATCAAATCAGTATAAAAGACCACTAAAAACTACCTATGGAAAAAGCACAGACCTTGGAATCAGACTTACCTGGGTACAAACTCTAAACTGAGTAACTTGTATGACATCGTGTGGAAAAGAGTCATCTCAACAAGCTTGCATTGTTTAAACTCTGCACATTCCCATAAATGGACTGTTTTCAGGACCAGCCCTTGGCCAGCTCCTGAGAACTAAGCTCCGACCTTTCAGAAAGTTGTCCGATTAGAGTGTTTTTGCGTGCTGGAGGTCTTGGGCCATGCTGTACCAGTATGAGCAGGTACTTTATGTTAATAATGTTGATTTACAGTGAATATAAGCTTTTTCTCTGGGGATCTGAAGCTTAAGTAGCCAAGGTCAGTCATGCAGGCATGACATACCCATGTGACTGACCCCCAGGGTAAACTTCCCTGGTTGGGAATATTCTGTACACATTATCACATATTTTGGGGGAAATTAAACATGTCCTGTGTAACTCCAGTAGAAAGGAACACCTGACAGCTTGCAACTGGAGTCTTCCAGACTTCATCCCATGTGCCTTTGCTGACTTTACTCTGTATCCTTTCACTATAATAAACTATAGCATGAATATAGCAACTTCTGAGTCCAGTGCATGATTGAGTAATGGTCTTGTAAATGATTGAGATGGTCTTGATGATCCCTGATGCAAACCTTCAAAAATCAGTCTCTTAAATTCCACACTGCATAGTTGTCACCAACTATTCTATTCCCATTTCTATTCTCACCACCCCTTTCAGTGGTAATTTCAGATAAAGTGACCATACAATTTATCATCCCAAATGGGGTAGTATTAAAAGTAAAAAGAAACAGCTATTAATACTAAATTACATAATAGGATGCAATATTATCATAATGTAATAATAGCCTGGAACAACAGCTATAAACCAGGACTATCCCTAGTTTATTGAAATGAATAGTCATCCCAGTATTCACAGGTGATCCTATGGGGAAAGGAGTAAAATGTAAACAAGAGGCTTCTTGCTATAGTTGCTCCTATGTAGGGCACCTTTCTACACATCCACAATCCAAGGTTCCTTCCTGGCATCAATGTTAGATGGCTAAGTGGACATGTAACTACAGTTCATCCTTGAACAACATAGCGTTTGGGACTCCAACCATCCAGGCAGCTGAAAATTCATGCATAACTTTGAATTCCCCAAATCTACTAATAGTTTACTGTTGATGGAAGCCTTACCAATGACATAGTTAATTAACACATATTTCATATTTCACAAAATATGTGAAATAACGTTTTCATGCCTTCATGAAATTTCCCAAAAATTTCCTTTTCTTGCTGTTCAACGGTCTGTATGCTGGATCCACTTATCTTGAAATGGAAAGCAACCACAGCTGCAGATCTCAATCTAAGGTACATATCAAGTGATTCAACTTTTGCTGGTAATGTCATGACATTCTCTGCTTCTTGGGGGCACTTCTACCATCACTAGTGGCACTTGGTATGGGAGTTACCATGGTGTTATTCAAGGATTACGATATTGAGTAAACATGATGAAAAATACGTAAGAACCAGGAGAGATTACTTTTTGCTCATGGGGACATAGCAATTAGCAGGACATAGCAATTTAAGCAGATACTCAAAACACTTGACCTCACCACAAGGAGGTGACAACAAAATTATTATAGTTAATATATACAGTTAATTTTGTCTAGCTATAATTTATTTTAATTTCTGTGGGTACACAGTAGGTATACACATCTGTGGGGTACATGAAATGTTTTGATACAGGCATGCAATGCACAATAATCACTTCAAAGGAAATGGGGTATCCATTCCCTCAAGCATTTATCCTTTGTGCTACAAACAATCCAATTATACATTTTTACTTATTTTTGAATGTACAATTCAATGGTCATTGACTATAATCACCATAATGAGCTATCAAATAGTAGGTCTTATTCATTCTATTTTTTTGTATCCATTAATCATCTCCACCTTTCTCCAGCCCCCCACTACCCTTCCAAGTCTCTCGTAACCATCCTTCTACTCTCTATGTCCATGACTTCAATTGTTTTGATTTTTAGATCCTAAAATTAAGTAAGAACATATGATATTTGTCTTTCTGTGTCTGGCTTCTTTCACTTAACATAATGATCTCCAGTTCTATCCATCCATGTTGTTGCAAATGACAACATCATTCTTTTTGCTAGTACTCCATTGTGTATATGTACTGCATTTTCTTTATCTATTATTCATCTGCTGATGAACACTTAGGTTGCTTCCAAATCTTGGATATTCTACACAGAGCTGCAACAAATATGGGAGTGCAGACATCTCTTTGATATACTGATTTCTTTTCTTTTGAATATATACCCAGCAGTGAGCTGGATCCTATGGTAGCTCTATTTTTAGTTTTTTGAGGAACCTCCAAACTGCTCCCCATGGTGGTTGTGCTAATTTACGTTCTCACCAAGTGTACAAGGGTTCCCTTTTCTCCACAACCTTGCCAGCATGTATTATTGCCTGACTTTGCATATAAGACATTTTAACTGGGATGAGATGATATCTCACTGCAGTTTTGATTTACATTTCTCTGATGATCAATGATGTTAAGCACCTTTTCACGTGCCTGTTTGGCATTTGTATGTCTTCTTTTGAGAAATGTCTATTCAAATCTTTTGCCCATTTTTTGGTTGAATTATTAAGGTGCATGCAAATCTGAAATCCAGTGGGGGAGTCAAATCTTAAAGCTCCAAAATCATCTCCTTTGACTCCATATCTCACATCCAGGTCACACTGACGCAAGAAGTGGGCTCCCACAGCCTTGGGCAGCTCCAATCCTGTGGCTTTGCAGGGTACAGCCTCCCTCCTGGCTGCTTTCACAGGCTGGTGTTGAGCGTCTATGGCTTTTCCAGGCACACAGTGCAAGCTGTCAGTGGATCTATCATTCTGGGGTCTGGAGGATGATGGCCCTCTTCTCACAGCTCCATGAGGCAGTGCCCCAGTACGGACTCTGCGTGGTGGCTCTGACCCCACATTTCCCTTCCACACTGCCCTAGCAGAGGTTCTCCATGAGGGTCCCACCCATCTGTATCCTTTGTAATATTCTTTATAATAAGTGGGTAAATGTGTTTCCCTGAGTTCTGTAAAGTGCTCTGGGAAATTAATCGAACTGAGGAGGGGGGTCACAAGAATCCCAATTTACCATCACTCAATCAGAAGTACAGGTCACAACCTACTACTTGCAACTGGCATCTGAAGTGGGGGCAGCCTTGTGGGACTGTGTCATGGGATCTGATACTATCCCCATGTAGACACTGTCAGCACTGAATTATAGGACACCCAGCAGGAGAACTGCTTGGTGTGTCGGGAACAAACTCCCACACATCTGGTGTCAGATGTATTGTATTGAGTGACTGTGGGGGTAGAGGCGAAAAACCATCTTGCATTTTCCTTTTACAACAGGTCAGCCACAAGTGAGATTTTAGTTTAATTTTTTGGTAGGTAAAAAATTAGTATCATTTAGTATCCACCCAAACTCCCAACTTTATTTATTTCTCCTCAAGGCCCTGGTGACATGGTACCTGAAATGACTTTATTCATTCTAACTAATTCAGATACATTTTTCCTCTTTGATACAACAGACTCCTGTTATGAGGACTGAATGGGGTAACGCTGCTTGAACACAGAGTAAGCAATGAACAAATATTAACTTTTTGGAGCAAGTAATAATAGGAGTGAAAAGAGGAAAATTCTTGCTGTTACCAGGGCAGCCCTCATGAAATAGTTGGGAAAGTTCTTTTTCTTACTGTTTTGCTTTAGACCCCTATTAATAGGCATTGCTTAAAGAAACTAGACAGCCTGGGATAATACCAGGGCTCCGGAAACAACTCAAGGTACTGGTGACATTTCTACTGAGAAAGAAGAAAATATTTACTTTGAAAATAGTCTTTAACTTAGAAATCATTTGAATACCTATTTAGAAAATCATAGTTAAAAGTTATGGAAAATAAAGCCATTTAAGTTCTACCCCCTGCTTAAATTTTTACTTAAGTATAACATACACATAGAAAAGTACAAAAATCATAACATATAACATAAATTTTCTGTATAATCAACACTCAAATCATGTTTTAACATTACTAGCATTATAGAAGCCTTCTCAGAGTCCATCAGTCACTATCAACCATCAAAGGTAAACAATACCCTACTTTCTAACACTATGACTACATTTTATCTATGTCTGAACCATATTAAAATGAGATCATAGGATATATGCTCTTTTGTGAGTGGCTTCTTCATTGTTTTCTTTGTGAGATTTATTCAGGTTACTACATAATACAACAGCTAATCATTCTTAGTTGTACAGTATGCCATTGAATTAGAATATCACAATGTGTCCACTCTACTGGTGATATAAATTTGGGTTGTTTCCAGTATGGTGCCATTACAATTAGTACTGTTAGAAACATTTCTTACACATCTTTTGGTGAACATATATATACACACATATCTACTGACTATATACTCGGAATAGAACTCATAGGTCAAAGAGTCGCGTAGGTTAAGCTTTAGTATAGAGT